ATCTTAACTATATTTAAAAATTATCTAAAATCCAACGAAATCTACTCACAAAGATTGAAAAACTATTAAATTAATTCTGTTACATGAAAGATTCCTACTAACTTATAAGAATTTTTATCTATTCTAATATTATAAAGAAGAAGTTTTGATTATTTCTATGTTTGCATTGGATAGGCTCCGAAACTACTGAGAGAATTAATAACTTCAATAGTTACATCACACGCGAGTGATATTAACTATTGAAATGGGCGAAGTCAATACTTACTTCTATTATGATCTACCTGTTGATTTGTTTATATTGTTTCAATATATGAATGGGGATGACTAATTTTTATTTGCCTGTCTGTCGGGTTATTAAAGAATATTAAACACTAGTTTTCTTTTTTTTTTGCGATATCAATCATTTACCGGCATGCATTGAGTTAAGATATCGCATAACGCGTCGCCTTTGTACATTTTATACATATTTGTCACGTAGCGAGCACCCTCTCCTCGACTTTATCTTAGCCATTTCTCGTTATTAAAAAAAATAGTATCTAATATTTTTCTATTATCTGTTTGACGGACTATATAGATTTTTTTTTTAAATCCAGGTATCATTTCTATTATGTTGCAAATAAATGCGTTCTAAATAAATAGGACACAGCAAGTCTCTTAATATTGAAAGTTATTTAATAATAACCTCCTTTTATGAAGTCGGTTAAAATTTTGATATTAATCTTTTTTTTATTAATCGCACAAGATTCATCTACATGATACAATTTTACAATGTTTACTATAAATGAAGTACTCTTTACGTTGATGAGATTCGGCTAGGCATCGACATCTCTGAGAATCCTAATTCGATTCCCGGTCGGGTCAATGTAGCGTATAAACTTTTCTATATTGTCGCAAGTCTGGGTATTGCAGTAACTTTGTGTCTCAATTTTCTACAGGTGTGTACATAGTATTTTTTTTTATAAATTAACCCTAATTAGTTCGATATATCGCCCCCAAAACGCCTTGCATACTAAGTTTAATGAAAATCGTTGTTGGAGCCGTTTCCGAGATTCAGATTATAAGTAATTTTATTATTAAATCTCTATTTCATAACTCTCCGATTGACTGGTACAAAATGTTTAGTGGCATTCAACTGTACGCTTAAATTGTGCAATGGAGTTTAAATAAATATATGATTATATTTATACTAGCAGTTTTCTAGCAACTTCACACGTGTAAATTATCATAAGCCCATTTCGACCGCATTTGATGTAGCTGCCCATAGGTGAAAGAATTTATAAGATCGGTCCAGTAGTTACGAAATCTATTTGATGCAATCAAACAAACAAACAAATCTTTTTTCTTTATAAGTTAGACAAGAATCACGCATGCGATGAATGTCACAGGCCTATTGAGGTGTAATACCTCACCCCGTGACGACATAACGAAAGTGCAACCGTCTTTTGTTTGTTGTTTTTGTACACTTGACTAAAATAAGTTCCCTGCGGTCTCATAGACCACGCGCGACCATTGGAAGGTTAAAGATGATAACCAAAAATTTGCACAACACGTTGAACAATAAGATTTGAGAATTATTATAAACAATAACACTACAGAATGACCGAAACTTAATCCAACGATCTCGAAATGCACCTATCTCGAGTTTGCTACCTGCGAGCTTTTTTCTTGAACTTTTTTTGCGGCTACACGATCTAGCCGCTATTATTTCGTCATAAAATATTTATCACAACATTTCCGAGACCGAATTGTGTAATGATTTGACTTGGGGTTCGAGGATTAAAGCTATTCTCGGTTTTATTGTTAAGAAATTATAGACATACTTATTTACTGAAGTACTTGAAATAGTAAAACATATTTAGCTGATGACTTTAATAGGGATGATGACTGGGTAAAAAAAAATGCAATTCTATTTAGTCCGTCAGTCAGATAATAGAAAAATACTAAATACGTATTTTTTTTTACTTCAATTTAACAAGAAATAGCTTAGATAACAGGCATTGAAGTTGAGGAGTGGGGGTTCGCTACGTCACAGTTGGGTAGAAAACGTACCATAACATGACGTCATGCGAAATTTCAATTCCATGTATCGCCGTTATTTTATGATTACGAAAAAAATAAAAAAATACGTGTTTAATATTTTTAGCACTCAACCGGACGGACAAACAAACAAAAATAAGTCGTCATCCCTATTGTGCCTTGAGTGTTATTTTTAAGTTTTTATTGAATTAGTCAGGTAGTCTGGACTAAATCTGGTGAGTCAAAGGACACACTTCCTGATTTACTATAGAGCTATTTCATATGCAAGTATAACCTAGTTGACAAATTAATATTAATATGGAATGGAACTGATCTGATGATGGAACCAGAAGGGTTGGGAACTCAGTGGTTATGATAATATAACATGGCTTGATTTATTATTACGAAAGTTTGAATCTATTTGGAAAAAGAAAATTATTTTGATGTTTGAAATAAAATTACAAAGACTGAAAAAAAACTTCATACATTAAAGTCTCCTTTAAAATATTTTACTAAAAGTAATGAATAAGAGAACTAAATATGACCAAAATGAATTCATGAACTAAAATTATAACTGAATCATCATCATCATCAGCCCTTTTTACGTCCCCACTGCAGGGGCTCAGGCCTTCCTTATGGATGGTTAAGGAGGATGGGCCATGACCCTCCACGCTGGCCCAATGCGTATTGGAAGGTGTTAACGACTGCAAATGCAACCGGAACCAACGGTTTAACGTGCCTTCCGAAGCACGAAGTAGCTCGAGATAATAATTTTTTGGTCACCCATCCTGTGACCGACCCTTGCGAAAGTTGCTTAACAACAATGATCGCAGGCCGCGGCGCTTATTCTTTACGCCACCGAGCTACTTCTACTTTATAGCTGAATGAATAACTTAAAATAAAAATGTCTTTTGATTGGAGTTTGTTTTAAAATTATTCAGTGGTAACTAATTAAATATTATTAAGCTCACGTGCGCTATAATGTAAAAAACATTTCTGTTATCTTAGTCATTAACGGTAAATGCGGTTTGACGGGATTAAAACCAATTTGAGTCTAGTTTGTGTAACAGAATTGCACTATTCCAGAAACATTGTAACACTTTAAATGCGGTCGTCTTTGAGAGACTTCCATGTTCTTTACATAGCAACATTTCACGGCACCTGCATGAATAGTGTATCTTGCAATTTTAAATTTAGTATGATTTTAATGAATGTATTAGTTAGTTTAAATAAATGATATTATTACAAACTTTCCACGTCATCTTATTAGCTAAACATTTTAGGCAACTCTACATATATTGATGAACTTAATACCATGTTTATTAGCAAATCAAAATATTTGATTTGATCAACGCGAACGAGTTAAAGTTGTATCGAAGTTAAATGTTGACAGAATTATATATTTGGTCTATTTATTTGAAATTATATATAAGGCACAGTCGTATGTATTTATATCTGCGTTAAATTGTCCATTAATTTCCACGTCGTTTTTCCTTTTCATGCCTTACTAAAGATTTCAAACTTAACCCGTTATCTGCTCCACTTTTTTCCCCAACAACGAGCGGCGAGGTGTCAACTAACGGCCACCCATCATTAGATCGGTTCGCCATCAACTTAATCGCCAAATAATGATATAAACATTTGTCACTCTCTCAACCCCTTGACGGCTGGAATCTTAATGATACAGTTTTTGTACAGTCTTAGTAACGAACGCGTTAGCTGTTAATATTTTAACAGAAAATAGAGCATGATTTATAGGGTTGACAATTCTCGTACGGTCAAGCTCCTTTAAACGACTTTAGTGGTGATTTATTATAGAGCAGAATAACTTTCTTGATTTCAATACTGAAACATGAGTAATAGAAATCAATAGGTGCTTAATTGAAATTATGATGAAATGAGTGCATAATTGTACTCATTGACTGCAGAACTGTACTCGAAATGTGTTAAAGCGGTTTAGTTTTTTTTTATTATTATTATTCTACTACATTTTAAAAGGAAAAACGAAACCCTAAAACTCTTATAAAATCAGGTTATCCTGTTAACTAAAAAAGAACACATGTAATTTTATGATAAAATAAAACTATAAAGCTTCTTGTAAAAATCATTTATTCTTAAAAATATATAAAGAATTACAAAAAATAGTTCTTAGTTTTAGATTATGGGGGGAACTCATTAAAATTATTTCTGCATGCGTTAACCTCAGTGCGAACGTCGAGTCCAACTCGCTCTTGACCGATTAAAAAAAAAACAATATTCGAGCTTTTATAAGTAAAAATGAGAATGCTTTACTAACTCTTCTATCTAACCATCCTTCTTGTAGCATCCAATAGACGAATATTATAGAAATCATGAAAACTTTGTATATCCAATAGGTATGTATATATAACCGCCATCTTTGAAAATTGTTTTTTGTCATGCTATGAGAAAAAACAATTTGTTACTTGTCCTGTGTTGTATGTAATATAGTATATTGTTACAATTGGTGTCTGTAATATCTTTATTAACACATATTATACCAAAACAGTGGACCAACTTTTAGATTACACGTAGCGACCTCTAGCGGTCGCTTAGTAAACTAAATAAATTCGCGCCACGGCTTGCAGCATGCTGCAATGATAAAAGCAGACTAAAAGCATATCTTCTGCTGCTAAAAGCAACAACAAATATTGCTGTGGCACCTCCCAAAGCTTGACTTATTACCTTAAAACCTTTGGATAAAACAGTTATTAATGACAGTTCAACACGTGACAATCGTTACTACAATATTGTACAGTTTTATTGACCGTACTCTATTGAAGATTGCTTAATAATTTGTTATTTGTTTGACTTCAAATATAAGTCTGATCCTTGATATTAGGAATCATATAAATGTAAAATCAAATTAAAGTGAATGTGGTAGGAAGCAACGACAATACTAGAAATAAATATATAGAAATACGTAATCGTGGCGTGCTAAAACGAAGAAATCATTGCGCAATACTATTGAGTTTATTATTCTGGTTTATCGTTTGAATTGTGGGTGTGCAAATGTGTTTGGTGTATTAAGTGTTATAATGGCATATAAATATGGCTCTAATAATGGGAAAGACATGGAGCAAAAATTCATCCTTGAATGTATTCGGTTATATAGAGATTTACCTGCCCTATGGAACATGAAGAGTAAATCTTATTACGAGCGTGGAAAAAAGAATGCGTCGTATAATATACTGTTAAAAAAATACAGGGAAGTATATCCAGATGCCACAAAATTGGATATCAGAAAGAAATTTAACGTATTGAGAACTAATTATAGGAAAGAGTTCAGGAAACAAAATTCTATGAATTCTTATAAACCCACTCTGTGGTACTTCAACGAATTTAGTTTTTTGAATGAGCAAAAGCCGGATATAGAATCTTCAATCGATCTTAGTCAAGAGGATGGCGTTTCTGACTCGGAATCTTCTGTTTCCGCAGAGGTACTGCAAAACGATAACTTAATAATTAAAGTAGAACATGACAAGGAAACAAATACGGTAAGTTCAAAATTATTATATCACACAGTGACTGTAGCATATCGAGTTAACACAAGATGTCACCATAATAAGTTTTTTACTTAATATTTAGTACATTATGGTTTATTATTGCTTGCCAAAGTTTGGCTCTCGAACAGGCACAACACCATGTGTACAGAGTATGTCTGTACAATACTGTACAGACTATTTAGAACCCAAGGCTATGGTACTAAGTGAAACTTGGCCATTGTCCGTCGTCATCATCATGATCAGCCTATTACCTGCTAGTATACAAGCTGTCCTTATGCATGGCTTTTAACAGGGAGATTGAGCCACGCGGGCCCAATAAGGATTAGTAGTGTTAACAACTACAGATGCAACTGGGAACAACAACGTGTCTTCCGAAGCAAAGAGGACTAAATAATATTTTTATTACTGATAATGCACTTGCCACTGTGCCATGGTACTCTCCAACATGAAAATATGGTGTCTATGGAAGTATAAAAACATGTTTCAATAAAATAAACTAAGTGTCATTGGTGGCCAATAGATATTTTGCAAAAATTAAAATTTTGGGTGAATATTTCATTTCGTGCGTCCAACGATTGAGTATATTGGATACTATTATAGATAAAAAAATATCTTTAAGCTATCTAATTACCATTCGTGGCCACAAAATAAACATATTGAAACTACTATACTTTTAATTAACTGGAGTAACTACCATCTTATTAAATTAAAAAATACTAATAGTAATTTATATACCCAGGCTTATTCGAAATTCATAAATATATATATTGCTTTAAAACTCGTCTAAGCAGTTTACTATCCTTACCATTCGATGGTATGTCTGGCAGTGACTTAACTTTTTAATATTCCACTCGGCATTGATTTTTTGTTGAATATCTTTCGGTAGTCGGGGCTCTGTCACCGAGCCGAGTGTACATATAAGGAGTGATTTTTTATTTAAATTATGACAAAGGGGAGTGCTTTGCAAAGTTGACATCTGCCATTCGTTAGAAAAGGTAATAATATCCGCTGTGTTCAAATTTTTATTTTAATATTTTATTTTTTGATTATCTCTTAAGCTTGCCAGACGTATCAAGTTTAAGTAACTCAACGTGAAATCTTTGTATACGTTTATGAGTCTAATTACCGTTCAGTTAATCACCACTGATTACCGTTCTGGTAATTAGATAACTCAAAACGGTAATGAGGTATTGTAAATAAGTATTTTTTAAATAAGTCACCTACGCGTGTTTTCAATTAAAATTAATAAAATTCACAATTATTTGAAATGCGGTATGAAAGTATTTATTTACGCATTTATTCATCTTATCTGTTAAATTAGACTTTATAGGTATACCTTAATACTAAAAACGTTTCTAAGTTTGTTTGTTCGTGACGGAATTTGGGTGTACTAATTTGTGTAATAATGAGGTAGGCGTCATCAATCTTTTCTGTCAAATATCAATATAGAATTATGTAAAGATATTTTTTAGACAATAATGCCTCCGAAACGAAAAACAAAAGAAGAAATGCTAGAAAAGGCAAAGTTAGCACGCCGTAAAAGGTACGAAAAAATCAAATCAGATCCGACGCTTTACGCTTTAGAAAAAGAAAAAGAACGCGAAAGGTACCTAAAAAGAAAGGGGCAAAAGAAAATTCTGTCTATATCCGACATGACCCCAAGAAACAGGTGGTTGCAAAGAGAAAAATGGAGAGAGAACTTCAGAAATTATTACCGAAGGAAAGTTGTCAATCGTGAAAATGAAACGATGAATAAGGATACACCAAGTTGTAGCGATAATGAAGATTCCCAAGAGTCGGACGGAGTTGATGAAGGTACTGATACGGCGAGAGAACTTAATACAAATGAGAATGTATCTCAGGATTTACTTATCATAAGAAACCCAGAACCTACTATATCTAAAGTTAAACAGGTAAGCGATATGATGACATTTAAAAAATATTTTAGAACAAGAAAATTGAGGTGCGTTATTCAATGTTTGAAAACTACATAAAAAAAGATGCCATATTGTAATTCGAAAATTTAAGTGTGGATACGAGGGTAGTTTGAAAAGTTCTTGGTCCGACCAAGAAAAAAAATGTTTTATTTTTCTACATATTCTCCCCTTGTCTCAAAAATGGCACTTTACATACGAGTAAGTAAAGAATCGAGTTGTTGAATGACAATAAATCAGTTTGCATACTACCCTCAAATCTCGGTCAGTTAATACGTGGTTTAAATCATCGGCTGCCTAAAACAAATTAACAATGACAAAAAAGAAAACGTCAAATTGAAACGCGCGACTTATTTTCGTCTGATAATGGTATTAAACTTGGTCCTTTATCGGCCAATTGCACAAACGTCCATTTAATTTCATTAGTTTGAAGTGACATTACCCATACAAATATGACATTCATTAGAACTTAAAGTCATAATTAAACCTTAAGGACATATGAACAACTGACCATATGTGTACCAAAATATGATGGCATTCCTCGTTTTATAATAAACGGTTAAAGCTTAAATATTTAGTAAATTGAAAATTTAATTACTGGTCGTTTGTAACATAAACAGTAGAAGCCACTTATTTGCGGAGGATACGTGCCTTAAATATGCCGCAAATGCAGGAAACGCGAATACGGAATGGCGTTTAGTATATAATTATAAGAGATACGTTCCGAGGTTCCAAAATAATAGCAATATTTATTATTATTTTTGCCTAATTTTACATTCACAATGCTCTCTGCTCAAAGATATGCTTAATTCAAATACTCAAAAATTCACTTTGTCCCTGGCACTCTGAGATGGGTCTCAAACCCGCGACGTTTCGCAAACCAAGTAACTGCTCTAATCATTGAGCTACCCAGAATAATAAATAAATAAGCAAATTTTACCAAAAAAAAAAACAACATTTTTGTTTTATTCTGAACACAAACCTGAATTGCAGTGTGGCCACATTCCGTGCCGATGAATGTATTTTATGTAAGGCATTATAAAAGCCAACTTGACACATGCCCGAAGTATTTAAAAGATGACGATGCGTTAATAAGCGACGCTCAATCCCTCTATGTTACCGATTGCATCCGCAAAATAGATTTTAGCCGTGAGTACAGAAAATAGATTACAATACTTTCACCCGCGAATAATGAAGCCGTGAAGCTTCTACTCTATTATAAACAGTGGTCGGAATTAGGTAGAGTTAATCATGTACTTACACTGATTTCATACAGCAAAAGAATAACGTGGATATGCCTCAAATCCCGAGATTAATTTTAAAGAGCAGAAAAAATCTCTTGATTTTTTAAATAAAAAGTTATTTACTTTTATACAATTTAAACTACTGCACGCACGACGTTGCCAAACTTATATCAATGACATCGGATGTCCAAAATTGCAAAATACATTGTCCATTAGAAATCCCGGGAAGGTCCACATTAATATCAACATTTCGATGCAAGTACATAAATAACTCTACCTAATTCCGACCTCTGATTATAAATCATAAATCACTTCAAAAAGGCATGACTATATATATATCTCTTATATTTTTCTCATCCCCGATATATGAAGTATTATCGCACGAAATGAAATATTACCCTTAAAATCACCCTTTTATTAAATTACACGCAAACTATTCTTGCAAAATCAACATTATGTTAGCTACAAATCGATCTTACATATATAGAGTGAATTTCGATTAAAAAGCATAAATTAAATATTTTTAGGTTTATTAAAGAGAACTTTTAATGATTAAAAGACAATAAATAATCCCTAATTACTTTAATTGTAGGAAAACAGAGTTGAATTTGAAGATTCAGCATACGATAAGGAGGTCGATAATCCAAAAACTCCTGGTAAAGCGGATAACAGTGAAGAAGAAGTTCTTATTTTAGCAAATGAAGACGTCAGCGAGAAGAAAGACGAACATTTCTATTGGGCTATCTCTTGCGCTGCTGATATACGAAAAATGGATCATGTTCAACAGATTTATGCTAAGAAAGCTATCGCTGAAATATTAATGGAAGGTCAACTTGGATTGTTGCATCGTAATTCTATGAAATTGAACGAATTATCATCATCATAGTATTAAATCCAGCTATAGTTATTTGATATGTATCTCCTATGTTCGAGCACTTCGTTATGTAAGAGTAGTTTCATGGAGTCATCTATGTGTATACGTATGTCACAGAAATTAGTCTGCCTGTCTGTCTGACCGTTGAAATTTTCACAGATGAATTAAATGAATAAAAAAAAAACCGAATAAAATAAACATTAACGTTCCGAGACAACAATCGAAATTATTTTGAGTTTTTTTTATAGATAATAGTATGGAACCCTTCTTGCGCAAGTCCGATTAGCACTTAGCCGGTTTTCGTATCCCATTATACTTAACCTGTGATAATTTGTGACAGTTTCCAAAATACATACTCAGGAGTGAAAGTATTATAATGTCGTGTGTTAGGAATTTACCTACAGATTTTAATTTCTCGTAACATTTCCTACAAATATCAAAAAAAAAAAACCGAATAAGACTTACTCTTGAGTGGCGTAGTGGATAAGCGCCGCGGCCCGCTATTGTAGATGTTAAGCAACTTTCGCAAGGGTCGGTCACGGGATGGGTGACTAAAAAATTATTATCTCGAGCTACTCCGTGCTTCGGAAGGCACGTTAAGCCCTTGGTCCCGGCTGCATTTGCAGTCGTTAATACCCTCCAATCCGCATTGGGTCAGCGTGGAGGGTCATGACCCATCCTCCTTAACCATCCATAAAGAAGGCCTGAGCCCCTGCAGTGGGGACGTAAAAGGACTTATGATGATGATAATTACATACACTGCTACAGTAAAGAAGCGATATAACAGATAACAGCAGCAAGTTCTTTCACTCCGTCACTAGATGGTGCTCCTGCGCATATTATAGAAGCATCGCGTATCGTATTTACGTACAGATGACTCTATTTGTACCAGTTGAATCTATTTATATCCAACCTACATCCAATGACCCATGTTCACTGCTCTCCAAATAAATTGTTCATATTCTATTCAGTATTTTATTTCGAAATAATACAAATCATAATCTACTGCACCATGACAACAGTTAAAGTTTTTCTTCTTAACTTTATTGGTTACTTTGCTTCAACCACAATACTGCCAACTTCACGTAGGAGACCATTACACGATTTATATCCATTCATTCAACCAAACAATTTTGAATTACCAATACTACATGGATTTAACAAGAACCACACGTTAAATGTTTTTTGTACGTTATTTAAGGAATATGGTCTACTAGCTTTCCGCCAGCGGCTTCGCCCCCGTGGTCCCTGGGGATCTATTTAGTGGGATAAAAAGTCGACCCAAAACAGTCAATACCATATCTGTATACCATATAATTCGTTCAGTAGTTTCGCCGTGATTGACGAACAAACATCCAAACAAAGAAACTTTCACATTTATAATATTAATAATATACTCGTAATAATAATGACTATAGCTCTTATCTAATAGGACGTTAAATTTGATAATAAATTTCAAACGGACTTTAACATTGACCGTGGAGTAAGATTGGGTGGAATGCATTGCACCATTCTTTTCCTTGACATAGTAAAACAATAACTTTAACCAGCAAAACTTGGGCGGTTATAGTTAACAGTTGAAATAATCATGTCATTCAACCAAATTCCAAATTGTGCAACTGATTATTTGCTCAGCCAACACTTTAACCTGTAAGTTATATTTTGCTTATAAAATAACTAAAACTTAACACTTTAAGCCGTGAACGCAATCAGTTTGGATTGTATTATTCAAAAACAATATTTAGAATTTAGTTGTAATAATGCAACTAATTTAAAATGTTTTCCTGCTATCTATTATAGATGGTTTAAAAATAAAAAAATAAAAAACTTTAACATGCATTTTTATTTTCAAAAAGAACTATTTGAACATTTCTATACATTTCTGTATTTTGTAATTTATATAAAATCAGTCTCTTGATTTATGTGATAATTTTCCTGTAGTTCATTACTAATAAATTAGTAATTGATGACTCCATTTTAAAAATCTACTAACATTCGTTTAATAAGTGAGTCCTCTTTCCTCCAGTTTCTCTCTTACTTCTTCAGGTTTTGGCCAAAACATCATTAGAAGTGTAGATCCTGCAAAAATATTACACTATTAACAGGAAAATCTATATGTATATATTTTTAGGGTATTTTATTAAAATTTCTTATAATCGCTTTTCTAAATGACAAAGTATTTTCAATTGTACCTAATGGAAAGAAGAGTTAAGAGAGAGACTATAAAGAAGAATGGCGAAATCGGACCCCATAATTTACAAAACCGTACATGGATGGCAATATGACAAATAAATAATATATGATTAATAGATTTTATTTCTACAAAATGGTTAATTTTAAAGTCGGGGAACCAAACTAAAATATTAAATGCTGCTAATAATTATCAAGATAACAAAACGTCTGATGATAGTGCAAAAACAAAACGCGAAAATCTTCTTAAGAAACGTTCAGTCTACGCAGAAGTACTTTAATAATAAACCTATATCTTGGAAGTGTTTCATGAATTTTGTGCCGGGAAATAAAAGGGTCATCTATTTTAGTGGATATTATCGTTTCCTGTACATTGCAATTAATTCTATTGCCTTTAAAGTACCATTAATACGCTTAATAATCGTATATAAATTCAAAATAAGATTGTACAGAACAGATTCCGTTCTCTTTAGTTGAAAACCACACAATATATCAAAGGGTTGTAGTTTGGATGGTTTTTGAAAATTCGATCACATACATCAACGATGTTAGAAGCGATTCTCAATTAATCGCGAGTTTTTCAAACCTGTTCTATAGAATATTATCTGTCGCCATTTACTAATAATAAGTGAGATATGTGATTTAATGTGTATGACTTAGTTCCTTCGCCTGTCCCATGGACGAATTATAATACTATTACTGTGATGTAATGACGTGTACCGACTGAGCGAATGAACGTCAAATATTTATTCAATATAATATATTATATGAAATACGGTCTTTGAATACTTTCATAAATATTTATTTTATTCGTTCAAATTACGTATTGAATACTTAAGAAATAAAATATTGAAAGCTAAGATACCACAACCGATTTAAGAAGATTATTGCCAGTTCTGCAGTTGATCCGATGAAAATTTAACGTATCGATTATTTTGTTCTAAATAATCGATTGGTGGTTTTTATTTTGACATGCTTGTTTTCATCTATTAATGTTCTATGATGATGATGGTGGAATGATAGCGGATGATTGGTTTGGTTTGTTTGTTGTGTGTTCGTTCGTGGAGTTTGATATTTATGTTAATATTCAACTTGACAATTAAGCATGTTTCTTCGACTAACGTTGATATTTGCATTACTTTTGGATTCCGAATGGCAATCGATTCGGTTATAACAATGACAGTTCAATGTGTACATTGCCCTTATTTGTCACTTTCAGTTGTAATGATTTAATTAAAGGCAAAGGGATCTACTCCACACAGTTTAGTCATATGTTATAAATATTTCTTCTATTATAAGTGTCTGGATCTTGTTAGATATGTAATTATTTTAATCAAGTTTATTAAACGGAGTAACCTGGTCACCATTTTTATTTATTTTAACGTCCATTCAACGAAAAAGCAAAGATGCAATATAGACCCCCACAAAGTATTTTATGCCATATCTTTTTAATCCCAACTTTTAAAGGAAAAAGACAATTAGGATTTTGTTAGTTTAGCTTATACCTTCAAGTACACGTTTATTTCATTCATGAACGGGACTTTGAAAATTCAGGTCCAAAGCTATATGGGAGTTCGCCATTGTTCTTTGACCGAATTTGTAATATTTTAAATTTGATCGAATTTGCGTTCACGGTATCGGTATTATCTTACAGTTTAGTAAATAAGTAGTGTGCGCAAACATATGTTTGGAAACAAATATCATCGTCGACGAAAATTAATTCAAGTATTTGAGAAATTCAATAGTTTCTATAGGTACCAAAAGCTCTAGACGAGATCTCCTCCGCTCTCTCAGAAAATTTCACTGTCTAATTAACGCTACGCTACTTACCAGCAGTAACTGCACCAAATACACTGAACGCCGCTAAACAGTGAGTGTTCAGGGTAGCCCCGAGCAGGTAAGAGCCAACAGCAGCACCAGTTCTACCAACCATGTACATCACGCACATCGCCATCGCTCTGGAAATCATCATTCTATTAATGTCTTGGCTGTTGGGATACAGACTATCCCTACAAATAGAACATAGGGGGAGTTTTATTCTATTCCTAACAGTTCCCAGTTCGGATAGGTTGGCACTGTTAGTCAAAAATTATGTAAATTAAATTACCATGGACATCACTATTTATCTATTGTACTACGGGAACCACTATCTGTCAGTGAGCTGTCACTGTCACTTTGACTTTGATAATCGGATTTTTACAGTATCGCAAAAAAATCCAAGCGAAAACTCACACAAATAATGTATTAAGTTTCTTACGAGGTCCAGGTTTTCGAGTTAATTGCGAAAGTGTCCCGAACGCTCTCATCGTTGTCCTTTAAAGCTTCACTGCGCCATCGAGCTTTCGATATTTTATTTTATAATTAGCGATAGTTTTACCTTTAATATAAGATAAAACTATCGCTAATTGTATACGAGCAGTTGAAATCTTTGATTTGTGCTTGTATTACTTTATGGTTTAGATCTGGTGGATTAGATTACATTTTTATCAAATTCCTTAATGTTGTTAATTGTCTGAAGAATGTAGAATTCTATGTATACTGCAGTAGTAGTTTATTTTTTTTATTAGTGTTTAGAGATCATGCGGGTAACAAAGGTTTCCGCTTTAAACCTTTTTAAGTTTGGAGTAAATTGTAATTAAATAATTGAGTGTTGGTATTTTTTAATTTATTTTAAAGCGGTGTAAACACTCTGGATGATAATGGTGATGATGCTTTAATTGAAATAGTGAAGACAACACACCTCAAACATGTAGGGAACACGTCGACGGCGATGGCCGCCAGTATGGAGGCGGCGCACCCGGAGCACAGCGCCATGATCAGCAGCGCCGTCGCCGCGGCGCCGTGCGGCACGAACGCCGCAGCCACGGTGGTGCCCGAGCACATCAACATTATACCACCTGCGTAACACAAAGGACCTCCTTCTTATTACGAGAATCGTGAACTCTCGGCGCAAAGAAAGTCTACTACCATCGACCCTTGCAAGCAAAATGGTGTAACACGCTTCTGATAACTTTATAGCAAAACGAAAATATCATAATCAAAATCCTTTTTACATCCCCACTGCAGAGGCTCAGCCCTTCCTTATGGATGGTTAAGGAGGATGGACCATGACCCTCCACGCTAGCCCAATGCGGGTTGGAGGGTATTAACTAGAGATAATATTTTTTTGGTCACCCATCCCGTGAACGACCCTTGCGATTGTTGCTTAAAAACAACTACTACGCCAAAGTTAAAATTTTATTAAAACACCTAACTCGTTACAAAATTACTATGGACTTGGTTGCAATATTTTATTTACAGTTGTCTGATCTAGTCTTTGTAACATAATAGCTAATTAACTCGAAACTGGTGTAAGTAGATAGTATATATGTATATGTATTCACAATTTCTATGCTAAGGTATACGAGTTTAATAGAAAAAGTGCAAAGTAAACTCGTAATACCTGCTGACTTACAGTGTAACTCGATTGACTTCATATTGAATGGCATCAGACTCGATCAAACTAAACTCACCAATCATACGGTATTGTTAAATACAGTGTCAATGTGTATATTTAAAGCAGTATTGAACATTTAGTACATTTAAATTGTACATATCCGATGCCAAATTGAAGTTAAATCAAGTAGAATACGAGATAAATCAACTGGTTTACAGCGGGAGCTTTTAATGACACATACATATGAATCAAGTAAGATGACGGATTTGAATTTAGACACTGTACCCACAGCTAATGGATAATGGCAGTATCTTTTATACTTAACAGTTAGTCAACGGCATGTTTTTCATCATCATTATCATCTAACATTTTCTAAAACTCTATTTTGCTAACAGACATAACATAAAAAATAATTAGCGGTCCTACCTGTTCTAAAGAAGTTTTATTTAATAAGATTACACATATAATTAGAAAAAAAATGGCGCATTAAAAAGAGGTTAATATGTATGTCTAGACAAATCAATTCTACATTAACCTTGAGATTTATCCACATGATTTCATATTATAATACTAGAATCTTACCATTTAATTTAGAAATATCCGATGGTGTTGCTGCTGGCTTGAGATTTTTGGATTTATCTTGTAACAAATGTAAACTCGTTTAAAACAAAGGCACTTACTGTATAATGTCTTCTTTCCAATTTTATTGATAAACACTCCAATAGCAAGATAAGTAAGTGCAAATACTGCACCCATTGCCATAGATATAGGGAACACTCCTACAGACACCTCCGATTTACAGAGCTTCTCTACTGCTAAAGACTGTAAAACAAATGAAAAAATAAAGAAGATATTTTACAAGACAGCAGATTTTATAGATACGACGACGAATTACACTTACGGTCATATTTCTTTGTTTTATAATCTTCTCTTGTATAATGGTGCATATAGTGAGACTCTGTTCACTGGTATTCTTCAGTATATCGTTCAAAATGTCTGGTACCCACATGTACAATCCGCTTGAACTGTAAGAAGACGAATTTACTATATTAACCAGCTTCAACTGAATATTTGTAATATCCAAGAAACCTTTTAGCGAGATCATATATATTTCTTTAATGGCTGATGATTAATCCGAGCCAAAGAGGAGCACGGAACGCAATTAAGTGATAGCTAATATCTTTCAATTCATTTGGTGCATTCCATTTGGATTTTATATAGTTTACCTTATATCCTGGGCTACAAATTATTTGTGAGATTAGTACCATAAAAATTGGGAAAGTCGATTTCATGTCAAACAGAAAAAAAAACAGAATTTCACATTTATAATAAATATGTTAATGTAAACAAAATAAAAAAAAACATTAATAATATCCAGTACCTTTTGCAAAACAAAAGGTCAGTTGCACAAATTTCCATTAGGGTTTAATGACGCCTTTAAGCTCTAATGAATGACAAATTTGTATGGGTAATGTTGCTTTAAACAAATGAAAATTTTAATGGATTTTAATTAAATTTTTAAAAAAACATTAGTTCCTAAAATCAAACTAGATGTCGCTATGGTACATTCTTGATTTCTCCATGACAACCCTTCCGATTTTCTTTCATGTTTAAAAGTAAATTAGTTTTCAAAACTCAATAAACAACTCATATTCCATTTGTCCATTTTCGTATTTGTATATTGATATTTAAGTTTCGAACTTTACAAATTTCAGTTTTTTAATATGTTCATTAAAAGGATCGGAATTGACTGTCTGTGTTCGTTTCCTGCAAAAATCAACTATTGCTAGAGTCGCCATCTAGTGGAGGTGCTTTTTTAGTGCTTTCGTTTTTTTTAAATACTTCCTCATAGTACATTATCGAGCGCAAGTTCATTTTGCTAGTGATTATTCATTAATATTAGCAGCATCGTGTGTCATGCCTAATTATACTAGATTCTAAAATGTTGGCTATCACATTTTGACTGTTATCAGTGTAATAACATCTTGAATAATCATTATATATTTAGAAATTTTCTTAATAAAAAATGCATAAAAAATCGACTTTGCCCTGAGGTACTCAGGGGTGCTTGAAAGATTCGTCAGTCCTATAAAGACCTGGATAGCTCAGTAGTTAGAGCAGTCGCTCGAATCACGAAAGCTCGTGGGTTCGGGTCCCATCTCAGTACCGCAGGACAAAGTGGATTTTTTTAAACATTTTTCACTAAGAATATCTTGAACAATATTCAAATTTGACTTAGCAATTTGCCTTATACGAAATATATCAAGTCATATGTCTAGCTATATAGATAACTTACATCATGAAGACGGCGAACATTGATATGTTAGAAATAAGCACACATCTCAACAAAGGCGGTTTGAATAACAGAGAGAAATTCTTGATTGCACCAGCGTAACTAGAACTCTTATCAGATTCTATACTACCGGACACAATCTTCTTTACCTGGAATAAAACATCATTGGAACTGTTCAAAACTATTTATTTCTGAATTTATCGCACAATCGTGATGGAAAAGCTTGCATAATAAAGATACCAAATCAAAATTGATATTTCCATTTATTATATATCCTTTATTGTGCCAATGCCACCATTTTTTCGGTCAATAAATTATTTACAAATTTTTATACATTTTCATCAATTTTCTGGGAGGTTATTAGGTGACTAAGTCCCTTCAAATCTGCCAAATCTAGAATCCACACCTAATAATAAATATTTCCAGGCATTATACATGTTCTGAATTTACTTAAAAAGGTTGCTATACAACAAGTCTTGAAACTACAGATTTTTATATCACTTATGTAATTTCCTGTCTTTTTTGTGAATGATGTGTTATCTATATTCAGAAGATATAAAAAAAGAATTTAATGATACCATTTACACAAAACCAGATTTCTTTTCTAAGCCCTTTTTGATCGTGGTCGGGAAAAAACTGTTTGTAATGAACACGCGTCGATTTTGTGTTGGCTTGACGGGACAGAACATTCCACTGTAAGCGTCGGAATGCGTCTCAATAACTGGAGTAACACCACAAAATGGTTAAATGAATTACCCTTTAGAATCCTCCAGTTGAAACCAAAGGAGGAATTAATTCGGGAATAGACAGAGGGAGAATAAAGAAAGGAAGGAAGCAAAGAGGTTTTAATAAAAAGGAAACAGAAAATGATACATCAAGTAGGAAGAATAAGTAGGAAGAAATTAAAACAAGAATTAGAACAGCTAATGTGTACTCATAAAGAAAAACCTACAACTACAAATAAAGAAAATTTCTATAACTCTGAGTATGAAAAAAGATTGTAATTTATGGTCTAAGAGAAAATTATGAAGAAAATGAATATGACTTGCATGAAAAGATTGAGACAATTTTTTATAATACAATGAATGTTGACTTATCTGGCTATATAGAGGACCTGAAAAGGCTTGGTAAAAGAGGATCTCGTAGGCCAATATTGATGGAGCTTATCAGTAAAAGAATGGTCAGATATATATTAAGAAATGCTAAATATTTTAAAAATTCTGGTTTATATATATGTGAATACCTTAGCGAACGGTCACTTCAGGAAAAGCGTCTATTAAGAAACAGTCTACTCGAAGCACGTAAAAAAGGACTCCACGCAGTTATACAAAATAATAAACTTATAATAAACGGAAAACCACAACTACTTACCGAAGAATCACAGCACAATATAAACATTAGCTTGAGTACACGATACAGTCAAAATAATACTCCAAATAACAGCACTAACACTAATATCAATGTTCGCGATAGCAGTAACATGCAGATTCCTTCAGATTCAAACGATCACTTTCGCGACAAAAACTAAAGATTTCAAAATACTGTTCCAAAATATGCAAAGTTTGAACAACAAGATACATATACTTGAAGCCTTTTTAGACAAAAAACCTAAAGAATATCAAGCTATCTGTATATCGGAAACTTGGTTATCAAGAGGTAAGTCGGAATTAATTCACTTTACGGCATACAACCTCGCATCATCGTATTGTAGACGAAACTACGAAGGAGGTGGCGTTTGCATAATATGAAGATCTAGAATATATTGAACATAAAGAAATTGTGGACATGTCATTAGAATATATTATAGAAATAAGTTGTATAGAAATAATTACGTATAATATTCTACTAATTATTATATACTGGAATGGGAGAGAAGTAATTCTTTTCTACAAACAATTGCAGAAATTACTAAACCTTTTAGTACAAAAATATAATAAAAAGAAAATAATATGTGGTGGAGATTTTAATGTAAATGTGTTGGAAAATAACAATAAATCAAAACAACTTCTAGAACTTATGTTAGAATATAATTTTCGACAGTGGATAGATGAACCTACCCGAGTTACCATTAATTCCGAAACTTGCCTGGATCTTATCTTTACTAATTTTTCGAATTATACTTTTGACACACTCGTAAAAGAGTTCGGTTTCTCAGATCATCGGGGCACAGAAATAAATATAAAAAAGTTATCATTACACGATAGACCCATTACATGGAAAATAAAAAAACGTTTATATACAAAACCAGAAATAGAATTATTCAAATCCACATTAAAAAACCTAAACTGGGAAAATATTCTTAATGCAACCACTGTAAATGAAAATTATAATAAATTAAATGACATCCTACAAAATACTCTAATTAATTGTATTCCTAAAAAAATTATTGAGTTAAAAAATAATATAAGAAAAAAATGGCTTACTATTGGCATAAGAAAATCGTGTAAAAATAAGCGTACATTAAAACAAATGGTTACCTATACAAACAATCCTATACTTAGAAAGCACTACAAATTATATGAAAAAACACTAAAACATTGTATAAAAACATCAAAAAAACTTCAATATATTCGTCAAATAAAAAAATCTAATAATGTAACGAAAACTATGTGGAATATTATAAAGGACCGAACCAACAAAAACGTTAATAAAGAAAATAAAAATACGCTCCTACGTATCCACAATAAACTTGTGTCAGATCCCTACCAAGTTGCGAATTTGTTCAATAGACATTTTGTATCGGTCGGGCACTCGGGCGCCGCAGGTAGCAGTGACGGGAGCACGCCTAGCGGCCGGCCAGTCGTGCAACCTGTCCTCAACTCAATGTACCTACAACCGATTGACTTACGCGAAACTATGACTATTATAAAAAACTTAAAGTGTAAATACAGTTGTGGCATCGATGAATTGACACCAGCCTTAATTAGACAATGTTACCAAGAGTTAGCAATACCATTTCAAATATTAATTAACCAATCTTTTGACAGTGGTATTTTTCCGGAATTATTAAAGATATCTATAATTAAACCTATCCATAAAAAAGGCAAAAAGGATGATTTACAGAATTACCGCCCAATATCTTTGTTACCCACGGCGTCGAAAATTATAGAAAAAGCTATGTGTAATAGATTATACTCGTACTGTGAAAAGTTTAAAATTTTTGATAATGCTCAAAATGGATTTAGAAAAAATCGTTCAACAACCTTAGCAGTTTTTAAATATGTACAGGAGATTTTGGAAATATTAAATTGCAAACGTTACGCTATAGGGTTGTTACTAGACATGTCAAAAGCCTACGATAAAGTTTTATTCAACATTTTACTTGATAAACTTTATAGTATCGGTGTGAGAGGAATGGCGCACAGGTGGTTTGCGTCATACCTACAAAATAGAATACAATATGTTGAAATCGAACACTTCGACGAAAACACTGCAGAGAAAAAAAATGTCCGTTCTGAGGTACAGACTGTAAATTACTCCATTCCACAAGGCAGTGTGCTCGGATGTGTTTTATTCCTGATTTATATAAATGACCTCCCTAAAACCTTATTAAATGACTCATGTATATTATTTGCAGATGACGTTTCTATTTTGACTTCGTGTACCGATAACATAAATTTGAACGAAAAATTGACAAATATTTTAAATGTTGTTTCTGAGTGGATGAAGGATCATAATTTAGAAATAAATTATACTAAAACTAAAATCATGCAATTTAGACCTCATCAAAAACAAGCACTAAGCATAAAATTTGAATACAAAAATAATCTTTTAGAATGTGTTAATACTTTCAGGCTTCTAGGGTTGAATATAGATACCAATGTAAACTGGAAAGATCATATAGAAACAATTAAAGCAAAATTATCTTCCTTTCTTTATGCTTTAAGGGAAATAAAGGTAAGCTGTGATTTCAACTCAGCAATGGCAACTTATTATGCATACGCCCACGCTTGGCTTTCGTATGGAATCATACTCTGGGGCAATAGTACAGACATACAAAATATTTTCCTTAAACAAAAAAAGTGCATACGAATCCTTGCCAATATTGACACTACTTGTAGTTGTAGACCATACTTTAAGCAATTTAAGATATTGACTGTGACTTCTCTGTATATATTAGAGCTTTGTAAATTAGTTAAAAAATATCCTGACTTCTTTACCAAAAAAAATGATATTCTGAGGAGATATCCGACGAGATACAAGAATAATTTGATACTTCCAAAATCACAATTGACTTTGCACAGTACGAGTCCCTATGTAATGGCAATAAAAACTTTTAATAGATTACCCCATAATTTAAAAAATGAAATTAATATAAAAAAGTTTGTAACGACATTGAAGCAAATTCTCATTGACAAGTGTTATTATAATGTCCAGGAATATTTTGATGACAAATTGTAATATTTTATTGCCGTTGACATAACATGTTTTTCTTTCTTTTCTCTTGACAATTTAACTTTTGTGACATAATTTATAATTTTTTATTCTAAGCATTTGACATTTATTGTACTTAATTGAAAATTACCTGACAATTAACATTAATTTTATATACCTATTTATGATTATTTTTAAAATGAAAATTAGGGACGAATGTGAATTTAAATGAAATTTTATGAATGTAAGATATTGAGGAAAGTTAAGATTTGAAGATTTTATTTAAAGCATTTACTATTGACAATGGAATTTAAATTTTAATTTTAATTTGCTACACCCTTACAGGGTGTCACATAAACTGTACCTAATAATAACACCTGTTTTACTATGTGACATGCAATAAATGAATTATTATTATTATTATTATTATTATAGAATTAACTGAATTTCAAATGTTGTCTCGCTTCAATATTACTTACTGGGTAATTATAATCTGACGTGCCATGATTCCATGCGTACATTTTCGCCAGAACAGGTAATGCAGCATCAGGACCCTTCGAAGAGAGCAAGTACCGTGGACTCTCAGGTAGTATCATTAGGAGTCCAGCAGCCGCCAGTCCAGGAGCACACCAGGTCCAAATAAATGCTCGCCATGGCACCACAGTCAGACCGAACAAGTCGAAAGACCATTTACCAGGAATTATCATCCATGCAAAGCCTGGAAAAGAAAACGCAACGTAAATAATTGTTGAGAAAAATAACAGTGTCGTAGGTAAGATCTTATTACAATACAATCAAAATTGCTACACGGCCGAACAAACTGATTAGTTTACTACTAATGCAGTTATTTTGCAGTTATTTTTATCGCTTTTATAGATATAAAATTATTAAATCTTTGCTTAGAAATTATGAAATCTATAATATTCTTCTTGTATAAATTTTACTCAGTAATATTACCGTAAATAGGAGAAATTCACAGTTAAACCTGTTTCCGAATTTTTTGGTTGGAATAATAAGATTTTTTTGTATAGTTTATCAATCATATTTGAAAATGTATGCCATGCCATGATGCTGACCACGATCCCAGTCGTGAGGGCCCAAAAGAGTGAGATATTTGGTTAGTGTATTTATTATATTTGGTTCAAATGAGCCCGTTACATATCGTAAAGTTAAATTTAAATAAATTATAAGTATACTATTGCTCAGTAATGCGGGACGCATTTGACCTATTTAATAAATATTGTTGTACCACAACACGATTAGGTCGCATATGAATATTTATAACACGATCCAATAGAATGATTTGCTATTTTTTCTAACGCGTATATAGAGTCAAGTTATTATAATATTATGTAAATGAATTATCTTGTAACCGAAACTTCAGTTATGTGGGTTAAAACGACGAAGCGCCCGATAAAATTAGGTATAGTCCTTGCGTTTCTTTGAGTAGATAATGATGTTAAAAAGAATTTGTTTGAACAACCGCTTTTTCACTGCTGTTTGTAAACCCTGTAAGTCCATAAAAATTTACTTACTATTGCGCAAACGCATGTATACGCACCAATTATTTTAAAAATTTATTGAGTGCTAGCTTTCCGCCAAAGACTTCATCCGTGTAGCTTATACGATGACGTTATAGTAGATTTATCCCTAGAGAACCATTCAGTGGGATAAAAGTAGTAGATACCAAATCTCATCAAAATCCGTTCAGTAGTTTGAAAAAGTAACAAATACACATCCTCACAATTTTCGCCATTATAATACAGATTGCCTTTTGAATTAGGCGACGTAAAATGCTAAAATGTAGATCTCGGTTACTAGGTAAGTTTATTAAAAATATATATATATTAAATTTACTATGTATGTGCGTCACCGGGAAACATCTAGTATTATGCTACTTTGATAATGACATGATATGAAGGTCAAGATGTCACTACTAGTAGTAATTTTATCAAAAAGCCATTCAAACTATATTTATAATAACATTATTAAAAGGAAAGATTTGATTGTATGTTTGCATTGACTAGGTTCCGAAATAATTGGACCAATTTTAATGATCCTTTCACCTATAAGAGAAGCTACAGTTGACATAGCTATAATAACAGCCAAAGAGCAGTCAAGATGAAACGGCGAGATAGACAAAGGCAACAAAAATAAGGGATTTTTGGAGAAGAAAGATTTCTCTTAATTATTCACGTCTGCTCCCAAAAGGTACCTGGTAATGTGATGAATGAGAAGGAAATGAAGGCCGATCCCCAAGCGATGGCGGACGCTCGTCTGGTGTTCGTGTGCATTTCTCCAAGATACGCGTACACAGTGGCACTGGACGCCGAAACTCTTAGAAAGAGAGGGCAGAGTTATAACAATAAAGTAGACCTTTATACTGTGCACTTAGAATTTAAAATAGAATCTTAGACTAAAGACTTTTTAATTATCGTTATAGTTAGTTTAGGTATTTACTGTTAGTTGCTTCTTAGCAATTATGAATACAAAAGTACATATTGAATTATGTTCTAGACACACGATTAATTAATTCAAGATATTTTAATAAAAACTGGATGATGGTTTTGTGAACTCCTTACTTCGATAGTTACGGGAATATACTTACAATGTTTTATGTCGTTTATTATTTTGTTTTTATCTTCTTTAATTATTTTCAGTAATAAATGAAATATTGATTTTAACAATTAATTTAGTGAGATATGACCGCTTATTTTGAACTCGGTTAAAATAGTAATAATATAAAATTATTACTGAATAGATTATTATACATATTTGATCGATTCTGCGTTCACAATGCTATACTAGAAAATATTCTTAATGATAAATGCTTAAAAATCCACTTTATCCCTGAGATGGGATTCGAACCCACGACCTTGTCGCAATCCGGACGAGTGTTATAACCACTGAGCTACCCAGGACCTAACAGGACTGACGAATTCTTCAAGCACCTGTTACTTTTGCGCTACTACAGAGCGTATTTTCATGAATTCATATTCATATCATATTCCTATTATACAAACGTAAGTGAAGATCTGGAACTATATAAAAATGTCTCTCTAACAGTATGATAAGATTTGGTGGTCAGAATGCATTTAATTTGAAGTAGACAAGTGACTTTATCCGCAAAAAAACAGGCAGTTGTCTTATAAAATGTATTAAGCCTACCCTCGTAAATTATCACATGCGAAGTCGCTTCCCGTAGAAGAAATATTTTTTGAAATATCTAATGGATATAAAAAACCAAACGTTACCTCTTTTTTATTAATAATTTAGAAAAAAACTGGGTATTCATTACATTAGGTACTCTGCTGACACAAACGCAATACTGATTCTATGAATAGATATGACACACTGTTTATTTAGTTATAATGCGCATCGTTTGTAATGAGACTGGAGTGATTTTACTATTTTAACCGACTTCAAAAAGGGAGGTTATGAATTCGACAATTTTTATGTTTTCCTTATCATTCATAAATTACCATTTTGCTATGAAAGATAAATTTAAAACTACGTAATGTAATTGATATCTTATCTTTTATAGGTATTTATAATATCAAATAAGTCATTGTTATCAATTGTCATTCACTGTCGGTTTTTATTACTTTGTTAAAACTTAAAACGATAAATAAAAACTTACAAACATCCAGTGAGCACTCGAAGTACCATCAGCACCCAAACGCTATTGGCGAAGGACGAGGCTATGGAGAAGAGCGCTGATGCCACCATTGCCGGCAGCATTACAGCTCGTCTGCCCATCCGATCTCCCAAATAACCCCACAAGAATGATGTGGATATTATACCTTTGAAGAGAAAATTGAGAGTGATTATTTAAATTAAACTAAATAATGAAAGTAGCGCTTTTACAAAAATCATGATTTCTTACGCTCACTGCTCTCTGCCTATCTCAGAAAAGGATTCACGTAATATGTCTATACAAGATCTCTGCAGTACTATTCTGTTTTAATTCGGCGTCAGAGCAGCATTGAACATAGCGATGTCACACCGTTAGAGGTTGAATAAAACCTACTTCTAAAGGTAATAAATATTTTCAAAGCAGCTTGTTAAAAATTAAATGACAATTTGACATGTGACAAAAACATTTTTATTAATCCTACCCAAATTGACCAATAAAGTCTTGATTTTAACTTTGTATTACTTTAATTACTTATAGTTTGAATACCCCATGACAATTATGCATACCCACGCATATTATAAAATTATAACAGGTCATCTATCGCCTTATATTGTAATTTATGCGTAGATAATTAAGTTATTCAATAAAAAAACGATTTATTTTACACATTCATAGATAATAATCCATGCATATAATTCACTCGTATCTGTTATAATTAAGACTGAATTTATAATATAAATATTCAATAATTCATTCTAACTACTTTATATCTCAGAATTTTATAAAGTTTCAATAGAAATATTCCATTAAATTACTTGTAATTAAAGTCGCATAGCGTTCAAAGACCTCGCAGAAATGCAAACGACTGGCCGATGACATTATTATAGAAAAACGGCCAAGGGTGAGTCGGACCCGCGCACGAAGGGTTCCATACTATTATCCATGAAAAAAAAGTAAAAAATATCATGTTTGGTCCACTATTACTCTCAAACTTGTAAAGTTAACTTAAGCGTGATAGTTTTCTTTTTAACTTCGTTATATATAGGTACCCGTACCACTACCGTAAAGTTAGATTTTTTTACCAACGACCATTTAGTTGGTAAAGGGCACTTGACTCTAACGAAAATTAGCTCTTTAAAGCTTAAAAGTCACAAACGGCTTACTAAATTGAGTCGATCATCCACTTTACATATAGGGAACTCTAAAATGTTTATTTTTTCATAATTTTACTTTATCACTTTGTTGGCGTAATTAACGTGTATAACGATGCAAAATTACATCTTTTTAGTACCAATAGTTTTTGTATGAGCCGCGGACGGTACGTACAAACAGAGGGATATCGCAAAACTATAAGGGTTCCTGATTTACTACGGAACCCTAATAAAGCTACCTATTTATTCAAAGAAATCAGTATTATGTTCCTTTCTTAAAGAATAAAATATGGAATAAATAATAAATAGATAGTCGCTTCCGCATGCCAGAATACTGCCTTACAATGCGAACTAGCGTAAGAATAAGACAGTCGATTAACTGCACAAGTTACTCGTACTTTCAGACCGAGTATTTTATATGCACGAGTTGGACGGTAGCTCGCATTCGAGTTAATTCTTATTTGTTTCCATTGCTCTACTCTCCTGACAACAACTTGCAGCACATTCCAATATATATCGTTATAATGTGTTCGATGGAGGATCGCAAGCAATAGGAGAATTGTGAGCGTAACTTATGTTTCTAGTGTGCTGCTCTAGCACGACTAGACAGCAGATACTATGCGTCATATAGCTAGTTAAAACTACTGGTTTATAAGTAGACCAACTAAGTATGTGTTCTAATTAGACAGTAGGTCGTACAATACGAATTGAAGCTAAGTCACTGATGCCTACTAAGTGAAATTTATTTTATTTTTCTATCTGATTACTGTAAACAATACAGTACAATTATAATAAGCTAATCCCTTGACCTATACAGGATCTAATAATTTCCCTGGAAGGAAAATTTTCCTGAAAACCTCTTTTTTTTCTATTTGATGGATTTGTCCATATTTTTTTTCTATTTAATTCCTTTTATATCATATTTGTACCAAAAAAATTTTTTAACACCAATATTTCTAGTTATTTTTGAAATAATAGATTGATGACGAATCATTTTTACAATAATTATCAAATTCAGTATGAGTGTAGTACCTACCTTAGAATTTCTAATTATTAACTGTAAATAGCAATAAATTCTAGCTATATAAAATAAATGTAAGTGTAACATTATAAATGAGTTAATTATGTTTATATTAAGCATGCCAACATAAATTTTAAAGCAGAATTCTTTTTTGCCATAAGCAATGGGTTTAATATCATTGGACATAAGGCTCTGTTTATTGAAAGCGCTTTTAGTGTCCATTTTATCGGTGAAAAGTTTTACAGGTTTCCGAAACCACTTTCTCCATAGATGGCTAACGGCAATTTCTATTTGCTAGACCTGCCCGAAAGTACAAGCAAGACGTGTTTTGTAATAACACAATAGTACGTATTTATTTTTTACAATAACCAAATAATACTCCACATAGAGCGATCTTTTTTTATTCTTCGAAAACTGTAACTGGGATAGGGCCAGGAGTTATAGCAGCTAGCACAACTCTATTCGCAACGCTCCCAGCAACTATTATAACCTACTTTGATATTCTGTATAAAAATCTGCTTCGAACGTAAAGTTGAGCACAAAACTATAACAGCTTAGAGATTCGATAAAATAAAACTTTATTTTATAAGATAATAAAGATCTCTATGGTGCGATAACACTATGCTCGAGGATGGGTCCGATGTTGTTTCCTTGTAGAATAGCAAAGTTGGAGGTTTACTTGTGATCTTATACATTTTTTCCGTCAATTGGACACTTGGTCACGTTCCAATAGCACCTAAACTGTTGAGTTTACTGCTTGCCTATGTGTTTATAGGGTAACTAGATATGCTCTGCGTTTATAGGGTAACTAGATACCTATGGTCTGCCTTTATAGAGTAACCAAAATATGGTCAGCGTTACTCACCTATAAACGCTGCGGCAGTGATGAGTCCTTTGTATTCACTGGAGAGGTCTAGGTCGCACTCCGCTGCTGTCACCACATAACTCATGCCAACCGACTCCATCGATACATTGAGCAAGATAAGGCCACTGGTCAGGAGCACCAGATAGTTGAACAGTCCATGACCTGCACGAGAAAGAAATACACACAAAATGATATACCCTTCACTAGTAACTGATTCATAATAGTTGTCTGGTGAGTAATTTATATAGTGATGAGTATGATGATAAAGGGGACCCGGTAGATCTGCGATGGGAACGGTAAGCAACTTTTGCGAGGGCTGGACATGGGATGGGTAACCAAAAATTGATTAATGATATAAACCTCCGTAATTCGGAAGGAACGTTAAGCTGTTGGTATTAGCTGCGTCTATAGTTAACACCCGCACTGGTCCCGGTGAATGGATGGTAAGTTTTAGACCCTGTGCCCTAACAGTGAGATTAGGCATTGATAGGATGATAATGGATAATTAAAGTCTCTTTTCCCGTTAAAAAGTCTATCATTTAATTAATGTTATTAAAACATACAATAACAAAAAGTGTCGAGTTTCAACTAATATTATTGCTTTAATGGCATTATACGATCGATTTTAGTCGGACGTATAATAGTTGACCAAACAGTGACATCCGATAAGTAGTCGGATTACGTCAAAGTGACAGGGTATAAGCTCTAACATAAATACTTTAATGACATCATACTATTAATCCTTATTGGCTCTGTAGGTTTAAAAAATTCAACATTAAAAAAAAACCTCGTCACAAATCCACACACAAACACTTGAAAAATTAAAAATTATATTATTATGTTTGTCCTTTCAAAACCAATTGACCCATCAACTTAGATTTATCAACTGTTTTTATAATTGAATTTAAAATAGTATATTGTAAATATCTGTAATTCTATACCAATTTTTATTCATTCATACCTTTTTAATATCGCGATATTTGTATTTAACTTTTGGCATACTGCAATGTCCTCCAAATGTACTTTGAAAGAAAGGTCGTCGTTTTTAGAGATGAGGCGGCTTTTTTGCCCAGTTAAGCAATTTCTTTAGGATATTTTTTTCTTTATTTGTGAGAGCAATAAAGAGTTACATCTATTTATCTAAAGAAATAAAACAATAATTCGTTTAAATTGTGTTACAATATCACGGTAAAGGGGATCCACTCAACTAAGTCAGAACCTTTATTCGGTTGACGCTGTTTCGTTAGTGTTATCATCATCATCATCATCATCAGCCCTGTTACGACTCCACTGCAGGGGCTCAGGCCTTCCTTATGGATGGTTAAGGAGGATAGGCCATGACCCTTGGATCGGAAGATATTAACAATTGCAAATGCAACCGGGACCAACGGCTCGATGTGCCTTCTGAAGCACGACTATCTTTTTTGGTCACCCATCCCGTGACCGACCCTTGCAAAAATTGCTTAACAACAATGATCGCGGGCCGCGGCGCTTATCCACTAGGTACGTCACCGAGCCACTCAATTGACGCTATGTTGTTATAAAATAGCAAATCTGTAGTGTTCTAGTTTATCTATTACATACGAAATACAAAAATCGACTCTATCTTCTAAATAATTGAATTACCATTAAAGTGGTGATTAGTTTTATAGGTCATAATCGTACTCGTGGTCGATAAGGCTGATTGCGGTCATCGATGTAATAGGGATGATTACTAATTTTTGTTTGTTTGTCCGTCAGGTAGTGTTAAAAAAATATTAAACACGTATTTTTTTATTTTTTTCGTAATCATACAATTACGACGTTACATTGAGTTGAAATTTCGTATGACGTCACGTTAGAGTACGTTTTCTACTCAACTGCGACGTAGCGAGCCCCCACTCCTCAACTTTAATGCCTGTTATCTAAGCTATTTCTTGTTGAATTGAAGTAAAAAAAAATACGTATCTAATATTTTTCTATTATCTGACTGACGGACTAAATAGAATTGCATTTTTTTAACCAGTCATCATCCCTATTGCAGATGATAAAACTGCTCACAAGAATTATTATTTATCTGCCCACCACACTGGAAACAAGATACTGCTTCTCTGAGTTCGACACGCGGTCTACCTTCCGATTCTGTAAAAATATAAAACCCGAATCGCTCAAGTATCTAAATTCGCTTCAAAAAGCGGCGTCCGCTCAATCTTGAATGAGGAAGTATTTAAAAAAAAAAATTAGTTCCCAAAATCTAATTAGATGTCGCCGTTCTTGATTTCTCCATGATAACCTTTCCGGTTTTCTTTCATGTTTAAAAGTAAATTAGTTTTCGAAACTCAATAAATAACTCATATTCTATTTGTACTTTTTCGTATTTATATTGATATCTAAGTTTCGAACTTTTCATATTTCAGTTTTTTAATATGTTACTTAATAGGAAGGGAAATGACTGTCTTAGGTCCATGTGTTTCCTGCAAAAATCAACTTTTGGTAGATTTTTCTATTGGTTTTTTAGTGCTTTCGTTTTTTTTTTAAAATACTTCCTCATTGGGTATACCGTTTCGTGGCATAAGTGACGTCAGTATCGTAATGGTATTGGAATATAACGTCTGAGACACGTATAATCCATCAATTCCGTTTTGTTTTTTATACAAGAAAAAATAGAGTCAATAGTATTTCTTCATTAAATGACGCCAATTCAGACACATGAGTAAATTCGAATTCGGGTTTGGGTTTTTACAGAATCGAACTGCTGGTTAACGCATGAAATGGACTTTTGTATATTGTCTTTGATTTGTATGTTGTGGTGCTTTTGTTTTTTCAGGTTTTTATAATACAAAGACTTTAAGGCTATATAAGTATGTGATTTCTTAACAGTGGTAGTTTATGTATGAGTGTGACAGAACTACGAATAACAATGCTTTTTCATTACCAGCCTATTAATGTTAGGGACATTTCCATCCATAGGGAAGGTCTGCTGGGGCTCAGACCTTCCCTATGGATGGAATCGATTTAAATCGGATAAGGCGAACAGGCAATGAACCACCACGCGGGTCTAGAGCGGATTGGTTGGTGTTAACGACAGCAGATTCAACCGGGACAAAAATAAAAAATATCGGTCACCCATCCCATAACCGGCTGTTGATTTTTTTTATTTGAATGCTAACGTTTCTGGCAAGTGTGCAACAGTCTCACACTTTTGAAACAGGGTTATAACCTAACTAATAAACTGTTATTCTAAGGAACCAAAATTTTCCATTAATTAATGAAACGTATTAACTAAAATAACTTCAATTGTAATAGCTGACTAACATTAAAAAAAACTTTGACAGTAAGTTTCTATTATCGATTCCATTTAACAAATAAATAATTATCAACATGATAAATCAGCCTTTTATAAGCTTATTAATTGTATTGCCAATACTAATCGTAATAAATCATCCTATTATTATTGTTTTATCTTTATTGCTAACTCACATTATCTAACTTTTCATTCATGGCCATGATCGGCCATAATCAATCAATTTTGTTTATATAATAGGTTAAGGATATACACACGGTCACATGAAACGAATAGGACTTAAATAAGTTTACAAATAATGTTTCAGAGCCATAAGCCTCGAAATTATGGTGGGACTTAGATTATAAAATAATGAGAAAGTATTTAAAATACATTAGTTCCCGAAATCAAACTAGATGTCGCTACGGTACGTTCTTGATTTCTCCATGACAACCCTTCCGGTTTCCTTTCATGTTTAAAAGTAAATTAGTTTTCAAAACTCGATAAACAACTCATATTCTATTTGTACTTTTTCGTATTTGTATTGATATCTAAGTTTCGAACTATTCAAATTTCAGTTTTTTAATATTTTAGTTAAAAGGAACGGAAATTACTGTCTTTAGTCCATTCGTTTCCTGCGAAAATCAACTTTTGCTAGCGTCGCCATATAGTAGAGGTGCTTTCGTTTTTTTTTTTAAATACTTCCTCATTCTCTATCCATTTGCATAATATGATGTAATAATATAACATAGCATACTTTTGTTTGTCATAGTTAACTTAATATTATTTACGCATAAAGGTATACTCATATATTTTTAAACAGTATTTTTTATGCATAATAATATTTAAGCATATATAGAAAAACTCGTATATTTTATGATTACTCTCAAACTTTAGCTTTTTTCCTAGTTAAAAAGTCTAGTTTTTTGAAACTGCTAATAACTGATAATTAAAAAACTAAAATCAGATGAGAAAACCAGTTAAAATGACGTTTAAGTATAGTTTGAGACGCTCTTTACCCTAAATTCTGAATTCGAAAACCGAGTGTAAGAAGCTAAACAAAACCATACATTAAATTAAAAAAAAAACTAATTTAAATTTTGAATTTAACTTTATTCTGTTGTCACGTGTAATAAAAAATATCTGTAAGAAATGTAATATTATTATCTGTATCTCGGAAACGGCTCCAACGATTTTCATGAAATTAAGTATGCAAGGGGTTTCGGGGAATAAAATCGCGATCGATCTAACTAATCCTAGAATCCTAGTTAGATCGATCGCGATTTTCGTCCACGAAATTTCATTTACAATGAAAAATACGGGCAAACCTCGGTCATCCAGGTACTGTTATATCATCAGACCTTTTCCTGCCAGTCCCCACTGATTGCAAATGTAGCCGGTACCGGCGGCTTTCGAAGCACGGGGTTAGTTTGAAACTATTTCCCTGCCTAACCCTTGCGAAAATTACTTTACGACAAATATCAAGGGCCACGATACTTATCCACTACGCCACCGAGTTAATATATTATTGATATTAATGTAATTTTCGATTTTGGGAATTAATGACAACGGATAAGAACATTGACTCAAAGGTCCGGTTTTGAATTGGTAGCACCAATTTTAATTTCAAACTCAACGAAACAAGATTTAAAATCAATTATTGATAGTTAACGAATATGCTGTCGATAATACGCATGAAGATATACATACATACACGTGTAATATTAGTACATAAGGTGGGTGCACCATTAGCGAACCGATTAAGCGATATTTTGAATCTTATTTAATAAATAGCCTTTGCAACAAAATATCACACCTAATATTTTTTTCATTAAAAA